ACATACTAGGTATATATTCTCGGGTCAGATCGGTTGAATTCTCTTCATTTTAGCTATCTATAAAGTATAACCTCTATCACCCAAATGGTATCCAGAAGAAATAGGTGAGTAGCATTTGACAATGAGCGCGTCGCATCCGTCTCAGCTGAGAGAGACTGTATGTACGGTTATTCATCTACTATTCAGAGCTGAAGGGAAGTGACCCGAGAATTAAGTTGAAGTGTACGTAGTTCTAACTGTACAGAAAAAGGCTCTGAGTAAATATCTAAATTAAAAAAATTCTTCTGTGGTTAGAAGTGCAGTTTTCTAAACCTGTCATGCATAGATCGTAGGTCACATATAGCTTATTTAAGTCGAACGTTGGAAATCGTGCGAATATTTCCTATCAGCTTATTTGCAGATCTACTGCATCATTACGAAGGTCAAGTTTGAGTACCGGTGGCACACCTGTTGCATCTACATCCAATGTTGTAAAACAAACTACTGAAGAAACTCTTGGAAGCGATACAAGTGATGTAGAAGGCGGAAATATGTTCAAGTAATGATTTGGAATTGCATTCTAGCCCTCATCTCAATACTCTCCTTTAGAACCATTAGCAGTATGCTGTCACTTTCCTTGATGATAGACCCCGTCTTTCTTATTTTCGCTGTATCTAATCTACTCACATCTGTTGGATTCAATTCTCCGTTATATTTCTTACCTATGCATGCCACAAGAGGGTTAAGCCTTGACTCAGCAAGCTCTTCGAAAGTTATCTCAGTGTATGGTACGGTGTTCTCAGGCTTGCAGCCTATAGAGTGTGATTTAAAGAATGCCTACATGAATGATCGAATTCCGTTACTAATTACAGGAGTCTGTAATACACTTGGACGAGTCGTTTTTGGGGTTATTGCTGATCACCAGCTTCCATTGCCATACGGACTCGGTCGGGATACTGCAAGAAATAGGCTGTGGATGTACAATATAACGCTTTCGGTAAGCACTCAAATTTCTAAACTGCCGTTATCCAAATGACGACCCTGACATTTTATATTGGAGCAAACATCAGTGCGAGCTTGAACTGGATAATGTTTGTGCATGTGTCCGTAATATAAATAATTCACTTATTGATTAATTTTTGGGAGTTTATCACTTGAATTTTGATATCAGGTTAGAAAATACATGTGTCAGTGATAAAAGCGCTTGATGTTTTGGAAGCACAGACCATACATTGCTTCCTCATGCATTGATATGATAGGACTATAGATAATGCAATATTTTATTGAAGTTATGCGGCCTCTTCACAACCTTCTGTTTTCTGTGTGCTGGCTTTGTTTCTCTTGCTATTTATGCTGGCTTGTTTGGTTTCTCAATTGCATGTTATATCTGCCTCACTAGCGTCATTCTGGTTGACCTTCTCGGGCTGGATAAGCTTACAAGTGCATTTGGTCTTCTTCTATTGTGGCAGGTATGAACTGCATTAAATTTTTTCCAACTTCAGGATGCGCATCGATCGCTACATTCTTGGAAGACACACTTTTTAGGGAGCAGGGACCGTTTTCGGTCCTCCTATTGCTGGATATCTTGCTGATATCACCTATGCTTATACTTGGTCCTTCATATTCTGCGGAGTGAATCTGTTGGTAAGAACATAGTCATACGTGATGTCATGTAGTTACATTTTATCACATTGATCTAAGATAGCAATTAGTTTACTTTTTTCCAAACGGCACTGCGTATTCGTACTTTTTTTGAAGAAGCTGCTTTCACTTTGAGGAAGAGTTGCCATTCGTGAGGCCTCTTATTTTTCTACCTTTTTTCAAAGCTTTATACCTTATAGCAACCTCAAATGCCCAAGGTTTGGAAGCTTTAAGCTGTATCGGAGTATAAAACCCCATTAGATAACTCTCTCTTGCAAGTATGTTTTTTTCAAGCATGTTCACTCATAATCAGGTTCAAACATGATTGTAATGCCGCATTTACGACCCTCCCTCCCGCTCCTTCAGGGCTGCCCAAAACCTGATACCCTCCACACAACACTTACT